TTTCTGACAGCAAGCTGGAGTCAAAATATTTTGGAAGCCACTGTCCAGCCTCTCTAGTTCCATGCTCTCTCTTCTCTAAGTTATCCTGCAGACCACTGCCAAATTAACTTGACTAAATCATTGCTTTTGCCATTACTTTCCTGCTTAAAAACCTCCAATTTTAAAAAGCCTAGGGTCAATTTCAATTCCTCGGTGTGGCACTATAATGTGGCCCCAACTAGAGTGCCAACTCTCAACAAACAAAGCCTCTTACCCAAGTCACTATTTACTAAACCCAAACTGGCCTCCTGACTGTCCATCTGCCCCAAATACTCTTGATGAATTCTGTCTCCACACACCTTTTACCCACCATTCTTCTCATTCCCCCACTGAAACAGTACATACTAGGGAGGTCAAGAAAACACCTTTGACTAAGAAGCTGTGAGACTCAAGATACTTGACTCTTTCTAACTACTTCAAAATCTGGGAAAAATCCCTTCCCCATTCATTACAAACAGCTAAAATAAGAGTAAGGTTTTTGACATTTGTGCCCAAAGCAAGGTCTCAAATACAGAATCTTAGAGCCTCCTCATAGGGTCTCCACCTTCTGGGCATTACCATGCTCTCTAGAGGAAGAAAGGACTTGGGGAGAGCTTGGCCTGTCCAAAATCACAGAATGAGTGAGTGGTATGGCTTCCCCAGGCAGGGAGGCCCCAGAGTAGGAAGCGGCTGAGATGGTCCACAATACCTGGAGGTCTGCAGTACACAGGACTTCCTTTATCAACTTATGTGTGAAAATTGGCAACTTCCTGTAATTCACTCCCAACCTGGTAGTGTCCATACATATTAGCAAAGTCAAACAACTTCCTTTGGGATCCAATCAGCTTGAGAATGGTCTTCCACTTTGCCAATATTCCTGCTCAAGCAAAGAGAATACTCAGAAGACGCAGGTTTTAGTTCCAGTTCTGTCAGGTACTGTCTAACTAAATTCTAATACATTGTCAAAGGGAGATTATAAGACTCAACCGCATATTTCAAAGGGTAAATGTGAGGATGAAAACAAACAATAAATGGAAAAGCAATTTGAAAAGTTAAAAGCACTATACAAGTGTAAGATAGCAATGGTAATGCTAGAAGAAAAAGAGACTCCATTGAGAAAATGTTTGAAACTGAATGGATGGTTCTGTCTGATCAAGCAGTCTGCTGTCCTTTCTTTATAATCCATTAATTTCCTTTCACAATTACCTGTTAGGTACCTACTATGTGCAGGATAGTATGTGAACACAAAGATGAAGTTGTGGATCCTGCTCTTAAGAAATTTACGGGGGAGAGAGATGCACATCTGTGATTCCTGGAAGAATGGGGAAGTCATACAGGAGAAGTACTGTGAAAGTACAGGAGAAAGTAGTTGGGGGGGGGGGTGCAGACAGGAGGGGAGAGAAATATCAGAGGCAGCCTCATAGAGTCTCGAAAGTCACTTCTTTCATCAGTCAATTTAATGGCATTCTTAGAGGCTCTTCATTTCAGGAAGTAGCTTGTAGGTTTTCCACATTTTTATCTTACAATTTTTCCTGAGCTAAGGCAAGTTCAGTAAATGGGAAAAAAATCCTCATCCATACATTTAATATACATTTACTGACTGTGGGGAACAGTGCTAAGGAGACAGTGGTAGACCAAGAGAAAGTCCCTGTTTTCAACAGCTCATTAACTAGTGGGTTTCCTGACAAGTAAACCAATAATTCAGTACAGATGCTAATGAGGGTCAGAGGAGGGGCCCACAGCCCAGCTTGGCAGGGTGTGGAGGGCCATTCAGGGAAGACCCTCAGCAGAGAGGGGAAGCCTGCCCTGTCTCTTGAAAGATGAGTAGCCATGGCCCTGTCGATGGTGGAGGTGGGGAATAAGGGCATTTCAGGCAGAGTGAGCAGTACATACCGAGGAACAGGGGCAAGAGAGACCAGGAAAAGCTTGGACACAGGACTAAAGAGAGACAGCCACATTCCAAAGGGCTTTATAAGCCATGGCCCAAAGCCAGGCCTTTAACCTGAAGATGATGGAGAGGATATAAGGGGTGAGAACAGGAAAAAAGAGACAGGGAATGGATCATGAGAAATACCAATATTTGGCAGACAGAGGTAGGAGAGCCCAGAAGAGTTGGAAAAGAAACTATGCACAATCTACATCATTTTCACAACAGTCAGCTGGGATTATCCATTCCATGTTACAGTTAGAGAAAACAAGACAGAGGAAGGTGAAATGCTTGCCCAGGCCACACTGTGAATGAGGGAGCCACAACCTGAACTCAGCACTCTAACTCCTAGCCAGATGTGGCTGCACTGACTCTAATTTTCTTCATTCTGAGCCAAACACCTAGACCTCTGGGACAGAAAGATTTCCTTTAGTACTCCTTTTCCTTATCACATAAGCCTAAAATCATCAAGGTGTGTGGTTCTAGGGAAGGGTACAATCCCAGGAGACAGCTAAACCAGATTAAGGTCACCATTCTTAATTCTACTTCTCCCATACCATAATAAACACATACACACACACAAAGACAGAGGGGGACACAAAGGAAGAAGGGAGAGAGAGAACCACTGGCTTGGATCAATAGATGGTGCAGGAAAGGGGCAGGTACCCACTAAACTAACGGGGTGGGCGGGCTGCACGCACAGAGGAAGCAGAGAACAAAGACTTCTCGCTCTTCATGCAAAGCCCACAGTGTGCAAAGGGCATCAACATTGGACATTTCTCACTGTGACATTTTGAAAGCCGGGAACAATGGTTACCCTCTTGGGACCATGGGCTGCGTGTCCCTAGGCCTCATTCAATGATAGCTGGCATATCCCATGTACTTGGTGAACTTGACCTTGGGCATCAAACTCCCATGATGGCTCTATGTCACTCTGGTCTCTTCCCCCACTGAGAATTCCAGTCTCAGATGAATGGGTGGATTCATTCTGGGAGCAGAAAAATCACTCCAGGAGTGAATCAGAAAGATCCAGCCCCGGTTTCCTTGCCAGCCATTGAACAAGGAACTGAGTGCAATTGTGTGCCCAGGCGCCGGTGCTGCTCCCCTCTCAGGGAGAGGGGGTCAGGGTCCACGCAAGAGATGACGCAGAAGCCCTCTAAGGAGGAAGAGAAAGGAATCTCAGCTTTGAGGGACAAAGCTGCCCTTTTGGTTGTGACCTTCAGTCTGAGGAGGTGCCAAGATGTGTATGTACTGGTAAATTAATTCTACTGGATAAAAATCTCAGCTTTTACCAGATAGCTAGTTGTCAATTTCAATTTTTCTCTAACCTGGCAGACTTTAGGAAACAGGCTAATTTACTAGTTTTTCAGAAAAAAACTTTCTGCAAGACAGGTGGAAACAGCATGCCTTGGGTCACCCAGAGAATCCTTTCCCTTTAGTGGTCTCTGTTCTACTCTTCTGATTTGTGAAGAAAGGATAGACTCATTTTATTTTTTTAATTGTAAACTCCAACCTAAGCAATATGAAGCATCCATACTTTCTGCTTTTACCTTGAAAAATTAGGTGAGAGAACCAAAGTTTCAAGATGCAGCTAGTAAGGGGACATCTACACCACAAGGTGAGGGGACCCAGGCTGACACTTTAAGGAAGTAATTCCTCTAGGAAAGGGAATAGAAGGATTGACACTTTCCCATCACTAACTAGGTTATAACAAGATGGGAAAGTTAGCTTTTTAAGGCTTCAGCCCCCAGCTGGCCTCCTGGAGCAAAGGTGGAGGGAAAGGAGCAGCTCCTGCTGGGGCTTATTAGGGCATTGCTCGGGGCTTCCCTCCATTTGCTGGCGACTGTTGTCTGACATTTGTCCATCAATCTTCCTCTAAAAAGCAGGAGGGAGGAGGGGGCGGAAATTGTTTAAATTTTACATTAGAGAGCTGTCCTTGACACTGACTGACATCAGCAGCTTGTGGCCAGAGCTTAGAGTCTCCACTGATGGCCAAATGTGAGCCTGCAAGAGCCTTCCCGAAGGATATTCTACCATCTTCGTTCACCATAACTAGTTATTATGCATATACTTGGTGTAAAAAAATAGGATACACTCTGAGGACAGAGTGGCAAACATGCTCCCTAAGCTAATGAAACCTGGATTCCAAAAGAGTTGACTCATGTTGTGTACCCTCTGGGGTCCATGTACTCTTTCATACAAGTACATTTAGGATCCCCTAAGGTTTGGGTTTGTAGATATGCAGGACATTGGCCTGGAGGTAAGGTCCTTTGGACAAATTGAGTCTTACAAAATAAACCAACCATTACACATTATGAAGTGTACTACATCCAAGAACCATACAGTCCTATAGCAACTTCCTTTCCAGCTCTAGAGTTGTGACTCTACTACTCTGAGTCTTCCTGGCTTTTCTTCGCATGGCCTGATAATTCCCATTATGTTTAAGCTTACCTATGTCTATTTTAGACCAAAAGCAGTGAGTGGGTAATGGCCCTGGGAATGATTAAAACTAGTCCAATCCTACTGTGGGAGTGTGGGTGTGGGTGTTTAATTCTGATCCCTTCCAAAGGAGAAGCAAGTTTTATCTTTTAAACACTGTGAAATGGTGCAAAGGCGTTCATTTGAAAGCAAGTGGGTTTAGATCCATGAATGGGCCTAGACTGCCAGAGTGAGGGCCACGGCTCTAGTGGGAGCGGTGGAGTGGTGCCCACAGGGGAGAAAGAGGACGCTCCACCTCCACCGATATTTAAAAGAGAAGGGAACAAGGAAGTCCCCCACTTCTAGCAGCTGCGCGAAGACGGGACCGGCTCCTTGGAACAGCGAGTCAGGAAACCAGTCAGCCGTGGGAACCCCAGCCCCACGTCCCGGTAAGTCCTGCGGAAAGATGGAGACTCCGGCAGAACCCCGGGGGATGGCCCCTCGAACCGGGGCCAGTCGGGCCCTGCTCTGGGTGGAGGGTCCGTGGGGGCAGCGCGGGTGAGGGGCCTCAGAGTGATGCGGGGCGACGCGCGTCGTGGGCCTGGGGTCCAGCGGCCCTGCAGCCCGCCTCACTCACCAGCTCATGGTCCCGAACCTGGCCCTGCCGCCGGGTCCTCCGCTGCAACTCAGTCCTCGGGGATCACTTCCGGATTCAGCAGTCTCCAGGAAGTGACGCAGACCCCGCCCCCTCCGTCCGGAAGAGGCGGCCGAGGGGGCGGGGCCGGCGCTTTAACCCTTCCGCCGCCGCGGGCTGCGGGAGAGATTCTGGCCTGCGACCCTCGCATGTTGGCGTGGGTGACCGGGACTCCACCTGTGGCGGAGGACAAATTGCTGGCATGAGGATCCCTGGGCGCGTTTTCTGCCTTTAACACTGACTTGTAAATTCTCTTCCGCTGACTATACGTGTCGCTTAACCGGGTTATTGCCTAATTTTTCTGTCTGTAGAGAGGCTTCTAATCCAGAGTCAGGAGCAGTAATTATTTAGGGGGGAAGAAGCCGATGGGGAGAGAGTCTGAGGGAGATTTATTTTCAGTGTACGGTCAAATTTTGTACCGTGTACGTGTCGTTACCTGTTACAAACAAACAAGTGGATCTTTCCCCGCCTTCAGGATGTCACAGGGCTGGCTCTGAATATAAATAGAACAGGTACTTTTCAGGTTGGAATGTTCTGTGGATTTACTCAACACGAGAGGGCAAACAGTGAGGGTTGCTCCCTGTCCTCCAGCCCTTCCCCCTGGCCACCTCTCTACAGGACCCAAATGATGTGGCTGGTCCCATTCTTTCTACTAGTTCATTTAACAATTATTCATTGAGCTCCTATAATGTGCCAGGCACTGTGCCAACTTCAAGGATACATTCATGAAAAGAAGTATGGATCCTGTCCTTATGCCTTCCCAGACCTACTTACCTGGAGGGAGAGGTAAACAGGCAACTAAGTAATAACAGATGATGGGAAAGAACAGAGACTCTGGCAGCCTGTAAGCGTGAGGGCTGGGGAGGGTCCAGGAGGAACTTATCTAGACTAAGAGGACTGAGTTCTAGGTAAGCAACTCACTTGCCTTGGGTCTCCCAGAGTCAGAATTCAGGGCTGTTGTCCCTCATAAGCTGTCTGGGTTTCTGGGGCCTCCTCACCCCTAAGGACCTTCTTGCCTTAGAAGCCAGAGGAGCAGGCAGTGAGGCTGGTGCAGATAACTGCTGGGCCTCCAGGGGTTCTCTGTGGGAATTCTCCTCCTTCAAATGGACCTTAGTGTTTCATTGATCAAAACCCACTTGTTTGGAAATTAGCTAAGCCAATGGATTAAAGCAGAGGACATGTATAATTTGTTCTGACCTCCCATGGCAGGGTAGAGGGTGTGACCAGGAGTAGGGGAGCTCAGGGGACAGTACACAGGAGGTAGTCTCTCATTTGTGTTTTCTATTTCCATTCTTGAGGGTCTAGAGTTTGACTCACTAGAGGTTTTCCATTAGAGGGTGGGCCTCCAAGCATATCACACAGATCAGCTTCATCACCATGTTACTCCTCAGGAAACAGGCCAAAATGAGCACTAGAACAGTGTAAAGAGGGAGAAGTCACCAAAGGGCAGCCAGGGCAGAGAGTGTAGGCAAAGGAGGACAGTCTTTGCTGCTTTGCACAGGGTGTGATGGGTGGGGGTTGAGGGTGCTGTTTTTTTTTCGTTTGTTTGTTTTTAAAGATGTGTACAAAAGCTCCAGATTTTGGAGGTGACAGAGGTGGGCCCTCCAAACATGGGGAAATGCTTTCAGCAGTTCCTCTCCTGCACTGTCAATGATCAGGGCACAGGCAGCCCACAATCACTTTCAAATTCAGGTGTGCTGTGTTTTTATGAGTCTCCTGGCACTTTAGCACCCGTGGAGGGCTCTCCCACCTTCTTCTTTCTTTCTCTATACTCTGTCTCCCTTAGTTATTGCCCTGTAGTGCTAAACCATTTCCCAAAGTATTAGCCCAGGAAGCCCTCAGATTCCAGGGAGGGTCTTTTTCAGGACTGGGGGTTGAAGACATTCCACAGGGCAAAAATGATGATTTCTAGACTAAGAATCTAGAAGCTTCCTGGGCTTTAGTTCTATCTTTGGTCCTATGATTGACCTAAGACAAGTCACATCCCTCTCTGGGCCTTCCTTGGTCCTCTCATCTAGAAGATGAGTGGATGGAAAACACTGCTGAAGTTGGAACATTTTGCTGTTCCAAGTCATCTGTCTTGTTGACTTCAAAGGCCATCAAGAAATAAGAGAATGGGGGGAGCATGTGAGGTGGGCCTGAACAGAGAGTTAAGCTGAGAGAGCAAGTCTGAGTGATGTCTGGGATGAAGTCAAACATAAACCTTCTGGGAGGGACGGATTCAGCTTGAGGCCCATCTGGGGCTGTGCTTCTTACCTCTAACCCTGAATATTTAATGAAGCCAGCAGAACCTTTGAGGTACTGGGGAATATGCTGGCCTCCTGGGAGTCTGTCTGGAAAGTGCCTGCTTTGAGCTGAGCTCCATCTCCTTATCTGAGGCTCATTTGTTCAGTTGGAAGTGTGCTGGGCTGGGGTGGGTAGTCAGATATCTGCTGTCCTGTGGATCCACAGTTTCCCTGTTAGCACGACATGCCATGTAACATTGATGCCGGGGAGGTGAATACAAGGAAGCACAAACACCTCCTCCCACTTTTGTGGAAAACTCAGCTGCAGGGTCTCCAGACACATGCTTGGGAGTTATGTCTTTCGTTTTTTGGAACCAGAGGACAGCACCATACAGGTTGATCCTTCCCCTTCAGGGGAGGAATGAAAAGGAAGCAAATGTGGTTACTAAGTGGAAGCTGAGTAGAGGAGCTTTGGGTAGAGGTGGATGCTCCTTTTTCAGGTCCAGTGAATACTGCTTTCTCCCCAGAAGTCTGAGCCTACAGGTAAAGAGTGTTCAGGTAGCAGAGATCTATTGCAGGGGACAAAGCTATTGACCAGAGGTAAAGCAGCTGAAGAACCAACTCTGCCACCAGACCCCTGACCTCTACTTGCTTTTTGGTCAGAGATTTGTAAGCAGGTGCTCCCCACTGTCCTCATCTCTGGGCTTGTCATATGTGCCCCCCTGCAGCCTTCCCAACACAGAGGCTGACCCTTTGATTCTTTCACCATGCCGATCCCTAATCAGCTAAGAGCAAGGATTCTAGAAGTGGACCTGGGCCATTAGGGACTTCATTAGAGCATAAGGGCTGAGACCAAAGGGACTGAGTTGAAGGGGCCAAGTCGCTGGGCTGAGCTTCCTTGCAGCCCTAAAGGCCTCTGCCTCAGGGAGGCCCCTGCAGCATAAACGAAGACCTAGACCCTCAGGTTTCTATGTGGTTTCACTCCCACTTCTCTCTGCCCTGCACCTACTCAGTAGGATGTCACAGAACAACAGTTTCCTGGACAGCGTAGGCCAAGGACATGGGAGAGGAGCAAGGGTGGAAGAAGATGGATAATATCAGAGTTAGACTTCCCAGTGGTGGGAAGCCCACACTGATGGCTCAAAGGCTAGGGTAAAGTGGCAAGTCAGAAGCTGGGCTGATAAGCAGCAGTGAGGGCCAGGAACAGCTGCCTGGACTCTGGCTCTGCCTCCGAGAAACTTGAGGGAGTCTTCCCTCCTTGGGGCTTGATCTTCCTCGACTGTAACGTGGAGTCTGGGTTAAGGATCACTTGTTACTGGCTGCCTGGAGTGCCCTGTTGAAGATTCTGAGGAATTTGCTATTGATAGGGAAGTACTGTGATTGATTGGGAGTGTCTCCTTGAATGAGTAAGGAGCTGTGATGGTATACATTCCACTTCAGTATTTTGTTATTTTTATTACAAGTTAATAATTGAGCACTTTCCCCTGGCTGGTGTGGCTCAGTGGTTCAGCATCTACCCATGCACCAAGAGGTCGCCGGTTCAATTCCCGGTCAAGGCACATGCCCAGGTTGTAGACTCGATCCCCAATGGGGGGTGTACAGGAGGCAGCCAGTCGATGTTTCTCTCATCGATGTTTCTATCTCTCCCTCTCCTTTCCTCTCTCTTGAAAAATCAATAAAAACATTAAAAAAATAAATAATTAGCACTTACGATGTGCCAGGCACTAGTCTAAGGGGTTCACATTTAATATTTGCAACAACTCTATGAGGTAAGTACTACTATTATTACTAGTGTGGAGGAGCTAAAGCATAGCCAGTAAATGGTTGGATGGAGAATCCAATCTGGGCAACCTGGCCCTGACCCTCGTTCTTTTCGCCACTATGGCATACCGCCTCTTGATGATTCCTGAGGTTCCTGACAATCTGTGGTTCCATCAGAGCCAAGCAGGGTCAGAAGACAGCAGCCAGATGCAGCCAGGAGAAGTACAGCACTGAACGAGTGGGTGGGGAAGGCCAGCACTTCACCGGGCACCTAACAACGAACCTGAAGTTCTGCCTCATCCTGGGAACTTTTATATGCTTCCTCCAGTTTGGAGATCTCAGAACCAGCAGGTGGCAGCACCTGGCAGGGTGAGAGAAAAGGGCAGATCCTGACTTGGCATGAAGTCCTTCAGGGATGAGACACCCCAGGTGTGGAGGGAAGCAAGAACAAATGAGGGTGTGGAAGACCAACCAAGGGTCCAAGGATGAGCCTCAGACCCACAGGGAGCTGCCATGGCCAATGCTTCAGTTCCACCACCAGTGTGATCCTCTCAGCTTGCATTTCATGGTGCCTGCTGTGGGCTTTTTTTCCCTTCCACTCTGGGAGAATGACTAACTTTAAGGACTAAAAAAAAAATGTTTTGATTACACTGCCTTTTTACCAACTGGGAGCATTAGTCACCGTGGATTGCTGCAGATAACGGGGAAGGCAAGCAGCATCCCCCTCCTCCCCCTCCTTCTCCCTGATTAGCTCACAGAAGCCAGGGAAGAGATGCCTGTGAGAGAGAGAGTGCACCCAGGAGGGAAAACAATTCCTTCTGGACCACATGTGTCCCAGGTATCCATTCAATGCTGCTTGGTCAAGGCTGGGCAGCCCTCTTGGCAAAAGGAGCATTGAGCCCACTGCTCTTGGGCTCCGAGTTGGCTCTAGGTCACCTGTTTCTCCAGGTGGGCCCAGGGTACACCTGGGAAAGGGGAAGTCAGAGGAAGTCACTGAAGACAAAGCTCCTGAAGTGGGACATTGGTGGCTGAAAATGAGGGAGAGTACATGGAGGCCATGATGGCGGAGATGTGGGGCTGGTGCCCAGGACTTGGCAGGGGTGGTGGGGGGTGTGTGTGGGTGGGAGGATGGCTAAGAACTGCTGTCTTCGGCTGGAGCCTCAGGGCTCAGACTGGGATTGAGAAGTTCATGCAGGTGGGGATGATACCCACTTTCCCACAGCCCACACTTCAACATTTTCCCTTCTTCTCCATCCCCAAGGGGGCAGTATCTAATGCTTTGGGCCACCTTCCTACCCCAAATGGCCTTCTTTGCTGCTGCCAGGCATGGTGCTGATGGGGCAGGAGAGCTAGGGAGCTTGCCCGGTCTGGCCTGTTGGCCAGGGTGCCGGAGGTGGGAGTGCTGTGCTTGGGGAAGACACTGAAGGGAGGGATGGAGCCGGGCTTCCTCCAGGACAGGCCAACCCTGTGCATCCTGTTCTTTTGACCTAGCCCTTTAGCCCATTTCCCCCACAAAGTTGCTCCACCCTGGCAAGAAGACATGCATCTGAGTGGCCCTTCAACTAGTAGGCCACTCGTGGATATCTGTCTGAAGAATCCCAAGGATTAGGACAAATAACCTTTGGACTATAAAAGTAAAGAAAAAGAAACAATGCTATTTCAACATCTCCCAAGATTAAAGTACTTTATCTTGATTTTTCTGTTGCTGATTTTCTTTTAAAAATAAAATATCCACAGGTGTTTGGTGTTCTCTGACCTCAAAAAGCTGATAAGGCAAATGAAGTTGAAAAAAAGCTTAGAGCAAATGAGGTTAAAAGAGGAAGGAGTGGGTTCTCCCAGAGGGAGAGGCCTGGAAGAAGTCATCCCTATTCCCCAGGGCTGGAGCTGCCATAGAGGATATCCAGATGTTGAAGTGGCTATGTGGTTTGTCCCATCAGTCCCGGCATGTCTCTTCAGACTTCACTCTCCTGTACACCCTGCAGCAGGCCTCGGGGGATCCCCACCCCCCTTGTCTGCCCTTTGCAATTCTTCACAATAATAACTACCATTGCAGAGTCTTATTGGTAGTGGGCTCAGCATTTTACATGTATTAGAGAATATATTTTTCACAGTAACTTGATGAGGCAGCTCCTCTGATTATTTCTTTTATAGATGAGGAAACTGAGGCTGAACCAGCTGCCCAAGGTCATAGAGTTGGCCAAGTGAGAATGACAGGCATTTAAACCCAGGCTGTCTAACTGCTTTGGAGTAGAAAAGAAAGTATCAAAAGGGGACACACATGCTAGAGGGAGCTGGCATTTATGGAATACTCATTCGCACATGGCATCTCATTAACCCTTGCTGCCTCCTAGAAAGAAGACAACGAGGCTTGGTGGCCTTGATCCCAGGAAAGCCTGTGAGCTGAAGTCCTAGCTACAAAGTCCTGCTCCAGTTGTGGCACTGCCCAAGGTCAGCTTGCAGCCAGGAGGGGAACCCACTGCTGTCAGAGGGCTGTATGGGGAGGTCACGCTTTGAGCTAATTGTGGATGATAGAGTAGCCTCAGGACTTTTGTTGCCTGGCTGGGATAGTCATTTACCCTTAGCTAAAGTTACAAGGTGTCTCAGGTGAGTACAGCCCCCATGACAGCAGGGCTTTCCTAGGGAATTCTTGCAGGTCCCACGCCTGGTGAGAAGCAAATCTAGGGAGTGGGGAGGACTGCCCTAGCCTG